GGGGGGGGTTGTTAAGCGCGCCCATACCATTTGCACACAATCGTGGGGGCCTAAATTTCTGCTGTTAACATTCTAGGAACGGAGGTAATAGCGAGATAAGTGTGGATATCGTTGAATTCTGTTGGATTGGTAAAAAAAGAAAAGGGAAAGAAAAGTGTTTTAACCTGCTCTTGAAATCTAAAAATCGATTTTCTACGCGATGAAAATTTTCAAATTTCTCATATGTAAATGTGTAAATTATCGAGGCAGATTGTATTAGTGTTTATGTATTGGTGTGAGTCGATCGAAAAAAAATGGCGACGCGTAAGGGTGTAAGTCGTGTGTGTCCATGATGGATTTATTTTATTGGAGGAGTGGGGGGTCGAAGGGGGAAAATAAATCACGCGTACGTTGACGGATTTTCCGGTTTCGATCGGCGACACGGTCGAGGAAGGGAACAGGAAGCGTGGCACGTGAGCTGCGCGCCCGATCGAAAGCGGAAGGGAGGCGGGATCCGTACGTTTTTTCGACGTTTGCACACGCGATGATTTTCGCTCTGCTAACCTCCTTGGCCTTCTCCCGCTTCGTCAGTTGCGTGAAACTCTTCTTCTCGATATGTGTATAGTGATTTTATATTTGGACGGGGAGGAATCGTCTCATCTTGGTATCGAGATATCGAGGTAATTTTACGTTTGTGGAATTTTTGGAAAGAAAATTTAAGTGAATGTTAGAAATGATATTTATACGTGTGATTTATAATTATAAATTTGAATTTCGTCGATTACGCGTTTAAGATTTTAATATCTGGGAATAATAATCGAAACGTATTTCTTTATTTCTGGAAAGAAAAATTTAATTTAATTAATTTGGAATCCGGGAATGAAACGTGTTTCTTTATTTCTGGAAAGTTATTTGAATTATATATATACCAGTAAATTTGAATTTCGTCAATTATGTTTAAGATGACAAAATTTTATTTTGAAATCCGAAGAATAAATAATCAAAATGTGTTTCTTTATTCCTGGAAGAAAAACTCAAAAAACGATATTTATATGTGTGAATTTGAATTTCGTCGATTATGTGTTTAAGATGAAAAGATTTTTATTTCTTTTTTATTTCTTTATTTCTGGAAAGAAAAATTTAATTTGAAATCCGGGGAATGAAACGTGTTTCTTTATTTCTGGAAAGAAAAGTTGTTTGAATTATACATAAAGTGAATTTGAATTTCGTCGATTACGCATTTAATTTCGAAATCTGGGAATGAATAATCGAAACGTATTTATTCCGTTTATTCCTGGAAGAAAGAATCAGATAAACGAGAAAAAGTGTATTTATATTTGTGCGAATTTGAAATCCATGGAATGAAACGTTGTTTCTTTATTTCTGTTGCAGAGTCGAGGCGACACAGGGAGGAGAGGCAACAAGTGAGTAAACTTGGTGTGAAACCGTATCGCGTGAAAACGTTAGGAGGCGCGCGTCTTCGAGAAACAATAGGTTTCGCAACGTTTCATTAATCGATCCCCCTCCGGCTTTTTGCCGCAGCGATGACCCGCTGCTTTTAAACAAACAGTGTGACAGACGTAGCAATTACGGCCGGGTTGTGCGCGATAACTCGATTGTCTCGAACAATCGACGTGGCGAAAGCCAGCCGGATAGATCGTCCATCGATGATCCACGGCCGCGCGATCGATCCGCGCATAACAATTATTATTTCCAATATTATATCTCATGGCTATTCGACGAAGCAACCAAACGTTCCAAACGATAGGAAACGAAAGAAATATTATCCTCTTGTTCTCTGTAATCCTCCTATCTATCATTCGAGTATTAATTATATCGAGCACAGGGAATGGAAAACGTTGTAATAATAACGTTGGAAGAAGGATTCAATTAGAAAGTTTAACTTGGCAAATTTAGTCGGGCGAGAAAAAAAAAATTGGACGTGAGTCATCGACGGCCCACTGACTCCTCTAAACGCCGGTAATTACGGCGTAATCATCTCCCCACGTGCACTTTTTTCTTTTGCGCGCGCTATCGCGTGGAAACTCAAATTTAATAGCGACGGGTTTGAGTGACTCGCGAGCAATTTTGTTTGAAAATTAATTCCTCGAGTAATAACCCTATTATCGGTTATCCTTATGCTATCGTAGTAGTAACTCGTAACGTAACGATACGAAGAAGAAAGAAGCGGTTGATGTGAAAGAAATAAAAAGAAAGAAGTTACTACTCACTCGAAATTTTAAAATTTTCAAAACCATCACTGTTCGCACGGAGAGAAACAGCTGTTTGCCTCTCGTCGCCAGCAGTAGCAAAGTATCGTTTCTGCAAACGTATTTAATCGTGATTCTGTCTACATTACGCCACGTCTACGATAAAGTTTCGTCGACCAGTTCTTGGCGAAAGAATAATTTCTCGAAGAGAGAAATTCGTTTCCAACGGTTTCCTCGGAAATTTTGCTTAGAGAAATTTTAACTTAATTTAATTTTAATTCCGTCCTTCCTTCCAAGAGAAAAAAAAAAAATTATTTCCTTCCAATCGGATGGAAACTCTCAGCGTTGAATCGACACGACACAATGCGATGGAGTAAGAAGCGTAGCGATAATCGAAACGTTTCCCGCGATTCTTCCCGCGCGTTAATAAGCCAACGGAAGGAAATAAAATGATTCATTGCGAGTAGGGAGGCGCGCGCGTATCAACAAGTGGTGAAACGTCGGTGATAAATCAGAAGCCGCCGCTCGTGGAAAGATTGGATCCAACGTGGGGAACGAGATGCAATTTCTTGTTGCGTGGTCTGGGAGTTGGTCTGGTTTTAAGGCGGGTATCAACGAAAATAATTAATACGTTTCCACGAAGGGAGAACGATCGCGCATCCATTAACGCGATCCGGGAATGTGTTCCGCGGACGTGGCCGGGGGATCGGGCGGGGAGGGGGGAGGGCCGAAACCGCTCGTTTCTCGCCCAAGATCGATCGACTGTCCCGTTTTTATGCGTTCGTCGCGTGGTAATGAGTGCTACCTTCTGTAATGGCTCGTTGCATTAACGTCGCCTCCGAC